GGAGGGGAAGGAAAAACTGGGAGAAAGTGAGGGAAGGGGTAAGACTGTCCAAAAAGCAATGCACTCATTACCTGACTTATGCAACTCTAATTTCTCTGTGCATCACCTTTATAGTAACAATTTAAAAAATTTAAAGCAAAAAATGCCAGGTGCTGCTGACTCATTCTTGTAATCCTACAACTCAGGAGGCTGAGATCTTTGGACAGCCATTTCAAGCCAGCCTGGGCAGGAAAATCCATGAGACTCTTTTTTTTTTGGGGGGGGAGGGGGGTCCGGTCATGGGGCCTGAACTCTGGGCCTGGGCGCTGTCCCTCAGCTCTTCAGCTCAAGGCTAGCGCTCTACCACTTGAGCCACAGCGTTACTTCCGGCTTTTTTTCTGTTTGCTTATGTGGTGCTGAGGAATCGAACCCAGGACCTCATTCATGCAAGGCAAGCACTCTACCACTGAGCCACCTTCCCAGCCCTCCATGAGACTCTTATCTCCAATTAACCACCACAAAATCAGAAGTGGGGCTGTGGCTCAAAGAGCACAAAAGCTCAGGGATAGTGCCCAGGAGCTCAATTCAAGCCCTATGATGGACAAAAATAAAGAAAGGCTTCTTGGAGAAACAAGTGGGTCCAGGTTTGGGGCAGGAAAACACCCTTGATAAGCCTAAGAGTTGTCCTTTAGTCAATGAAGGAACCTGAAAAGCAATCTTCTGGCCACACCTGACAACTCCACCTTCAAAAAGGATCGTAACTGCAATGAGTTAGAACCCTTTCCCTCTGTTCAAACTGAAAACAAATGTGAAAAACATTAACTTTGAGGTAAACCTCTGGGAGCCAACTTCTTTCATTAAGGACTAAAACATAATGGCCCAAAACCCAGTGTAACTTTTGTGCCCTTTCTAAAAAATTATTGTTGAATGTTTTATTTAAAAGATACTTTATGCCCTGAAGAAAACATGCCTTTAGCCAGTATTTCCCAAACTTGCATACAAATGAGTTTTGCATGGAAAGTTTGATACCAAAAATGTCTGGATCCTAGCTTTGAACATTTTCATTGAAATAGTAGTGTTACCTAGGCATACTAACTTTAAAAAAAATCTTCCCACATAATTCAAATACGCAGTAAAACTGGGAATATAGCTGTACTCTCATCTTTGAGCCAGGAGACTATATGAATGTCAAATTACTTAACAAATTATCAACTTAAGTATCTGGGCTCATTTTTTCCATAATCTTATCTTCCCCTATATTGTTCACTGTATATTTCATTAGATTTTTAAAGTCACTTACTTATTTTTATATATTTTTTCTCATTTTATTGTAAAGGTGATGCACAAAGGGGTTACATTTCTTTTTGAATAGTGTTACCCCCTCCCCCTCATTTTCTCCCATTCCTCACCAACTCGCCTCTTGACTACCTTTCTGAATGGATTGCATCTCTGGTAAAGAGTATGTGCAGCTAGCCGGGCGCTGGTGGCTCACGCTTGTAATCCTAGCTACTCAGGAGGCTGAGACCTGAGGATCACCATTCAAAGCCATCCCAGGCAGGAAAGGCCATGAGACTCTTATCTCCAATAAACCACTCAGTAAACCAGAAGTGGTGATGTGGCTCAAGTGGTAGAGTGCTAGCCTTGAGCTGAAGAGCTGAGGGACAGAGCCCAGGCCCAGAGTTCAAGCCCCACGACCAACAACAACAACAAAAAAAACAAAGAAAAGAGTATGTGCAGCTAACAAGACCTGTTTTTCCAAAGAAAATATAATTTTACATTGTAAACATGTGTGGAAAGGTAACAGTGGAATTCTCCTTCTATGTAAGCTAATTAAAGAGAAAAAAAAACATTCTTCAATAAATATTCCAAGCTGGGCATACAGGGGCTCACACCTGTAATCCTAGCTATTCAGGAGGTTGAGATCTGAGGATCATGGTCCAAAGCCAGCAGGAGCAGTAAAGTCCATGAAACTCTTATCTCCAATAAACTACTCAGAAAAGGCCAGAAGTGGAACTGTGGCTCAAGTTGTAGAGTGTTAGCCTTGAACACAAAGAGGCTCAGGGATGGTGGCCAGGCCCTGAATTCAAGCCCCAGAACTGACCAAAAAAAAATTCCAGTAAGCAAATGAAAAGGATAAGGTATGGATTGGGGCATAGATGAAATGTAAAGCATCTGCCTAGCAACTATTAGACCACGAGAACATCACCACCGCAGCCTGAACAAGTTAATGGATTGAGGCAGGCAAACTGGCTCTTAGCCAAGAGTAAAAGATGGGTGCTGAGTATCCCAAGAAAAAGTTAGAACAAAGAGCAGGGGCTATAGAAAGCAAGTCAGGAGAAACTGATGTGTGAATGAGGCCAGGGAAGACAGGTGGCTCCTCTCATGCTCAGGATCTCACCATATGGGTGACACTGACGGTGACAAGGCAGTTTTCATACTCCAGTTCTGGAGGACCTACTGGACACCAGGCTGTCCAGCAGTAGTAGGGTGATGTCTGTGGGTGCCAAGCAGGTATAGAGGCAACCACTGGGTCTCCCTGGGGGGATGGGGATGAGACCACATGCGGATCAGGAGAGAACCCCTAGTGAAGCACCTTGATGCTTGGTAAACACAAGTCTCCCAACAGAGTTAGCTGAACCACTCTAACAAGCAGCTCCCATCTTGTTTCAGACCTATCTGGGCTGTTGAGGAATGCTGGGACGAGCTTCCCTTGCACTCCTGCATGCCACCACCACAGCTAAGTGGCACAGATAGAGCGACAGTTAGGCCTGGGTCTAGCTCTCTGCCTGACCAGCACCACTGAAATCACCTGAAAATCTAACCTCATTAGGTCCCGAGGCCAAAGCCTTCTCTCCACTTGGCTTGAGGATTCTTGGTCTTTCCAGTCCCTTGGGAAGGGCTTGCAAGATCTTTCCAGAATACAACCTCCCCACCCCCCCAGGAAGCAGGGACTAGCCAGCCACAAGTTGTCTGGGTCAGGGGCTTGTACCATGTGGCTGGCTCTCTTCTTTCTTTATCTCAGTTCGGCAAAGGTCAGTCTCTGAAAAGAGAGAAAGAACAAGGGAAACATGTCTTCTCTTTTTTGTGACCTGGGATATACAATGGATTTCCCTCTCTTTCTTGTCTATGTATGTGGCAGTGAGGATCAGACCTTGCAAAGACATTCCCAGCTAACTTCTAGCTTCACAAACTAGCTTGCCTCAATCATCTCTTTACAAATGCTTCACTAGATCACAGCTGGGCATCCCTTAACATGTGGAAAGGTGATAGCATTCACTTCTCATTTGTTCACCTGGATCTCATTTTTGGGCTCAGAACTGAACCTGGGTCACACTATGTGATCCACCACACTATGCCCCTTGGTCCCTGGCATCTCCTGAATGGAGATTACAAATACACTTTTTCACAGGAAATGACACCACTTCCACACTGACATTTCATTGGATCTGTTCAGGTAGCTTCCTGACACAATCCTCCAGGCTGTCCTTGGTTCTAGGGGCATCAATGCTGATCTGAGAGGCAGGCATGCAGGGAGAAAGGTGGACCAGCCTTGAGGACAGGGGAGCTTCAACAAGATACTTGTTGACTCAATGAACCCACATTGAAATTAGTTTACAAAGCTCAGCATGGTGGCATGTACCTGTAATTCAAGTTTATAAACCTCTAATTCAAGCTTTTGGGAAGGCCTCCTCCTGCGGAGGATCAAGGAGCAAGGCCACCCTCAACAAAGTGAGCCTAAGACCCTAGCTGAAAAACAAACTAAAAGGCAAAAGAACTGAGGATGTGGCTCAAGGGACACAACACTTGTTTAGCATGTATCATGACATGAATTCTATCTGTAGTACTGCAAAAACAGACACCCTAGAGACCAACACTAGAGAGAGAAAACATGACAATGAAGGCAGTGCCTGCCCCAGGACTGGAAGAGGGCTCTTTGCCCTGGGTCTGATGTGATGACAGCAGCAGGAGAAATGGGAGTGATGGCAAGAAGAAATGTTTGTGCAGATGGCACACTTATGCACAAGCATGAGGAAATCAGGCTGGAAAACCACAGGTTGTGGAAGGCTTTCCTATCTATTCTTTTCTAGTTTCCCATGAAATCTTTAGTCATCACATAATATTGCTTTTACTGGAGTTTTTCCTCCAAAGCATACTTTTTCTGTCCAGTGTGGGGCTTTGAACTCTGGGCCTGGGCACTGTCCCTCAGCTCTTTAGCTCAAGGCTAGTGCTCTACTACATGAGCCACAGTGCCACTTCCGATTTTCTGAGTGGTTTATTGGAGATAAGAGTCTCATGGACTTTCCTGCCCAGGCTGGCTTTGAACCGTGATCCTCAGATCTCAGCCTCCTGTGTAGCTAGGATTGGCGTGAGCCACCGGCGCCCAGCCAAAACATACTTTCTAATATGCTTGTTCATTAATATTTACTTAAAAGCCCAGGTAACTCCTACCTGCAGGCTTGTAAAAGATTTCACGCAGCTTAACACAGCCAGATACATTTACCAGATAATCAAGCACAAGTCAACACACATTTCTGGGAAGAGGATAACCAGAAATAAGCCATATAGTATTCAGGTACAAAATAAAACCCTGAACTATGCTAAAACCTGAAGCACAAGCACAGCTGTGCAACGCTGAAGAAGGGCTGTGATGCAACTCAATGCACAGCAGACGTGGTTCCAAGTTAGTTAACTCTGCAGAGCTGTCAAGAGTGGCCTCAATTAGCTAATCTCAACAGAACCTCAACCACACACAGGCCTGGCTGGCAAGTCTCAAAGAGTCAGACTGTTGACTTCAACCAATTAAGACAATAATATCAAATAACTTGGAAAACAAATTACTTCATACTCTAAGGTTTAAATATTTCAACCAAAAGTTAAGATATACTATTGGCATTATGATGGATAGCAGAGAAAAGAAACCAAGTATCACGACCAGACAGCGGTAGTGAAGCCATGTTGATCACATCTACTTATAACCTCATTCAGATCTGGCTCCTTACAAACCTGGAGGTTATACTCACCTAAACCTTTTTGTCCAGGATTCTTAGCAAAGGTAAAGGTAAACTGATAAAAATCTTTGAACTTTGCTGAGTCCTTAAGCTCTTGTTCCAATCTGGGCAGAAGAGCTCTCAGCTTTTCTGTGCTATCACACCTGAGACAACAGAGAAGGGCTTGTTACTCGCAGGCCTGACTCTCAAGCAACCCTTCTCCTGCATCCCACTCCCTGGCTTCCCTTCGGTGTGGCCGAATCAATCCTAAGGGATGGGGGAAGGTGTGAGTGGCATCACAGTGGGCACCTTCTTGTTAAGATGGATTGTGAATGCACTGAAGCCACTGAACCACGACTTTATATGAGAGCAAGTTATGTGAATTGTATCTCAGTAATGCTGTCATGAAAAACCAGTCTGGGAATGGTGATACATGCCTGCATCAAAGCATTTGGTACCACAGCTCAGAAGCCTGTCTGGGCTACATAGCAAGTTCCAGGCAACCTCAACTATAATGTGACTCTGTCTCAAGGGAAAAAAACAATCCCAACATTTGTCTTTTCCTGTGTGGGCTGGATGTGGTCTGTTCTGCAGCTTTGATCACAGTGAAGCCAAGACCCTGAGGATGGCACAGCAACAAAATGGGAGCAAAGACAGCATGTCCTTAGCGCCCAGACAGAGCTGTTGCTGCTGGGCCCTGCCACACGGGAAGCCTTACTACTTTGGCGTTTTTTGGTTTTTTTGTCAGTCGTGGGGCTTGAACTCTGGACTTGGGCGCTGTCCCTGCGCTCTTCAGCTCATGGCAAGCACTCTACCGCTTGAGCCACAGCGCCACTTCCAGTTTTCTAGTGGTTTATGGAGGTAAGAGTCTCATGGACTTTCCTGCCCAGGCTGGCTTTGAACCGCGATCCTCAGATCTCAGCCTTCTGAGTAGCTAGGATTACAGGCGTGAGCTACCATCGCTCAAGCTACTTTGGCTCTTTGAGGATCTCTTTGTTGTGGCAAGTTGGATTTGTTTATTTAGTAGGTCGTGGAGTTTGAACTCTGGGCCTGGGCACTGTTCCTCAGCTCTTCAGCTCAAGGCTAGCACTCTACCACTTGAGCCACAGCAACACTTCCGGCTTTTTCTGTTTATATGGTGCTGAGGAATTGAGCCCAGGGCTTCATGCATGCCAGGCAAGCACTCTACCACTGAGCCACCTTTCTAGCATCACCCCCCCTTTTTTTTTGCAAGCTGGATTTAAAATATTCAAGTGTTATGAAATCAGTACTGCTGATTTCCTTTCAAAAGAAAAAAAAAACCTTTAAAATAATCAGCCTGAGCTAAGGGTATGACTAAGTATGGTAGCAGAACACTTGCTTTGCACGTGGAAGGCCCTGGGTTCCATCCCCAGCTCTGAAAAAACAAACAACAAAAACCCCCAACAGCTCAGCAAAAGCATGTATTGATCTTCAAGGTAAAATGTTTAAAAACAATTAAGCAAAATCTTTTCAACTGCACAAGACCAGAACTGCTACACTTAACGAGTATAGCAGAGCTAAGGAAAAACCAAAAATGAACTGGAGACCCCTCAACAGTCAGAAAAGTCCATGAATACACGAGAAGGGGACAGACACTCAGTGTAACAGACTCCTGAAAGTGATATTTTTTTTTTTGTCAGTCAGAGGGCTTGAACTCTGGGCCTGGGCAATGTTCCTATGTTCTTTAGCTTAAGGCTAGCACTCTACCACTTGAGCCACAGTCTACTTCCAGTTTTCTGTTCGTTTATTGGAGATAAGAATCTCAGACTTTCCTGCCCAGGATAGCTTTGAACCATGTCCTCAGATCTCAGCCTCCTGAGTAGCTAGGATTATAGGGGTGAGCCACTGGTACCCAGCCTGAAGGTGATCTTAAGTACCAGCACTACCCATGTCAAGGATGGTGCCAGGACATTGGGCCCAAGGGCCAGAAGCTGAGAGCTTCCCCATTGCAGCTCCTCCCCCTCTCAGTGAGATACTGCTCACTCTCCTGCTCTTGTCTACTTCCAATAGCCTTCAGAGCACTCTCCTTCACAGTGCCCTTGGGTATGACATAAAGGAAACTTGACATATTGTTTGGTTTGGCTGTTTGGACGTAGTGTCTACAAGACTCATTCCAGTAGATGTGCAGCTCCAGCTGGTTCATTTCTGAGCCATGTGAATTCCAGTAATTTGTAGATGAATGTAACATATAGGTGAATGCTTCGGCTGTTTCCAGTTTTCTCATCACAAGTAATAGTGTTTCTATACTCATAGGCACATATCCCAGACCTGTCACTGTGTATGCACCTTCAATTTAATATTGTGAGAACCTGTGGTGCCCACCCCCACTATGTTGCTGTGTCTTCTTTACCCAACCTACAGGGTGGATTTGCTGGGTGTTCTGTCACTGCAGACTTCAGCTTCCTGATAAGTGAGACAGACACTGTATATTTTCACTAGCTCTTTGGATATCCTTTCATGAAGTGCTTCAAGTCATTTTCCCAAGAGGCTTCCTTTTGTTTTGTAGGAATGCTTTAGAGATACAAGCTTTGTCTGTTTTATTTTTACTAGGGATTACACTCAGGGCCTCAAACTTGCTAGGAAGGGAGGGCACCACTGAAATTACTCCACCTGCCCATATGTCAGCTATTTTTTGAGACAGGTTTTTGCTTTATGCCTGAGTCACTTAGTTTTGTAATTCTACCTGTGCTATTCCATGTGGGCCAGATGAGAGACATACTTTTGCTTCCCATTTAGTTGAGATGGCAGGCATGTATCACCATGCTGAGACTGGTCATGATGGAGTCATGCAAAATTTTCTTTGCCCAGGCTGGGACTCAAATTTTAGGATTCCAATCTCCACCTCCAAGTAGCTAGGATTACAGGCCCACACTTGGCTTTTGTCAGCTATTTTTAAGATACTCATCCAGAACGCAAACTGCCTACTTTCCTTAGTGGTATTTTGTATGACCAGATTTGTGTGTGTGTATGTGTGTGTGGCACTGAAGTTGAACTTAGGGCCTCATGATTGGTAGGCTCTACCACTTGAGTCACATTTCTCATCATTTTCTGCTTGTTAGTTTTAGGATAGAATCTTACTTCTTGCCTATTTGAGGTTCACATTGTTGCTAGAGTAATGAACATGTACCATGTGTCCAGCTACCCTCCATGAAGATAGGAGTCTTGGTCTTTTCTGCCCAGCTTGGCATCAACCTTGACCCTCACAATCTTGGGACCCCAGCCTCCCACATTAGTTATGCAGCCAGTGTGCAGTACCACCCACAATACAGAGCTGTGGGCTAAGAAGGGGTTTTGCAAATTTCTGCCTTCTAAGTAGCCTACACTGTGTGAGTCAATGGCAAAGAAATTCTTTTTAGTATAAACAATCTACTTTTATCACTTTTTAGTAACATGTTTATGACTTAGCTCCCCTATAGTCATATTTAATTCTATCTTTTGCCTTTACAATTGAAATCTATAATCCACTTGAAACTGATTTTTATATATAGTGTGAGGTAGGGATCACAATACTTTTCTTCCATATAGCTAACCAGTTCTCCTAGGACTATTTACTGAAGACATGTCAGGTCTTCTTTCCTATATCCCAATGAGCTGCTTTCTCTATGAAAATATCATACATCTTTTATTTATTCTAAGTATTTCTTTTTTTTTTTTGTCAGTTGTGGGGTTTGAACTCTGGACTTGGACACTGTCCCTCAGCTCTTCAGCTCAAGATGAGTGCTCTACTGCTTGAGCCATATAGCACCACTTCCAGTTTTCTGGTAGTTTATTGGAGATAAGAGTCTCATGGACTTTCCTGCCTGGGTTGGCTTTGAATCGTGATCCTCAGATCTCAGCCTCCTGAGTAGCTAGGATTACAGGCGTGAGCCACTGGCGCCCGGCTGTATTTCATATTTTTGATAAAACAAAAAATAACATTAAAAAATTCAGTTTTGTTGCACTGTTTTATTTGGTAGCACTCATCCTTAGATGTACCTTGTTTTGTTCCTCCATCTCAAAGGCAAAGTACCTTACGGTTCCAATATGCATGAGGTATATATATATATTATTTTTTGGTCAAACTAAGGACTTTTACTGCATCTAGTTTGCTAAAGTTTGCATTTTGTATCTTGTATTCATCTTTAAAACCTTTGAAGTCTTGTGTGTGTGTGTGTGTGTGTGTGTTCCAGTCCTGGGGCTTGAACTATGGTCCTGGGCGCTGTCCCTGAGCATCTTTGGCTCAAGGCTAGGACTCTTATCACACTTGAGCCACAGAACCATTTCCAGCTTTTTCTGAGTAGTTTATTGGAGATAAGAGTCTCACAGACTTTTCTGCCTGGGCTGACTTTGAACTGCGCGCTCCTCAGACCTCAGCATCTTGAATAGCCCTAGCTACTACAGGCATGAGCCACCAGCACCTGGCTTTCTCAGTCTTATTACTGAAAATAGCTTGTAATTACCCATTCTCAGAATGTTATTCCTGATTTTGTTATTAAGGTTGTTCTGATGTCAAACAAACTGGATAATTCTTCATTTAAGTTTCTGATAGAAGCTATTTAAACTACATTTTTTTTCTCTTTGCTGCTCTTGAAGCTTGAATTCAGAGCCTGGGCAACTGTCCCTGACTTTTTGCCCAAAGCTAACATTCTACCTTGAGCCACAGTTCCACTTGTGCCTTTTGGGTGGCTAATTAGAAATGAGTCTCAAGGATCTTCCTGTGCGAGGTAGCTTTGAACCATGATCTTCAGATCTCAGCCTCCTGAGTTCAGGCATGAGCCACCAGCACCCAGTTCACTATTATTATTTCTATTAAGTTACTGTAAAAACTAAACTGAGGGTACATTGTATACATGTGTGGAAAGGTCACACAAATAATGTACACTAATAAATATTAGTTTCATCTATATCCTTTTAGGGAGTGGGGCAGGGAGGGAGGTAGTTGAAGCATTCAAAATGTAAACTAGGAGGCTTCAGGCTTTTAGGCAGGCGCCCTACTGCTTCTTCTCAGGTCATCTTGCTCCCTCTTCCCCCATCCCTTTCTCCCTGTGGTTGTAGACACTAAATTCTGGACCTTTTTTTTTTTTTTTTTTGCTGGTCATGGGGCCTAAACTCTGGGCCTGGGCAGTCCCTCAGCTCTTCAGCTCAAGGCTAATACTCTACCACTTGAGCCATAGTGCCACTTCCGGATTTTTCTGCTTATGTGGTGCTGAGGAATCAAACCCAGGGCCTCATGCATGCAAGGCAAGCACTCTACCACTAAGCCCAAAATTCAGGACCTTATACATGCCTGCAGGAGCTCTACCACTAGCAATATTCCAGTTCTCTTTTTCTACTTTAGGCATTTCTACTTTATGCATTTAGGCTGATTTCTATGGTATTCTTGTTTTTGTTTTTTCCCAGTCCTGGGGCTTGAACTCTGGGCCTGGGCACTATCCCTGAACTTTTTGTTCAAGGCTAGGGCTCCATCACTTGTGTGACAGCTCCACTTCTGGCTTTTTTGGGTAGTTAATTAAAGGTAAGAGTCTCACAGACTTTCCTGCCCAGGCTGGCTTTGAATTGAAATCCTCACATGTCAGTCTCCTGAATAGCTAGGATTACAGGCATAAGGCACCAGTGCCCAGCTTGAATTCAAAGTTATCACTTTTTTTTTTTCAACATTCAAAGTGCTTTCTAATTTCTACTGTAATGTTTTCAAATACTTTTTATACATAGGTGTACACTATCTACACATATTTTAACCTAGTTATCTTTATATTAAATTTTCAGAAAATGGACTTAACACTTCAATCCTTCACAATTTGTCACAACTAATAGCCCTGTTTACAGTTAACTTTATGAATGTTGTTTCTTCACAAATACTATGCCTGACATCATAAGCAATGTCAAGATATGCCAGGCACTTCCCTGTGTAGTCCAAATCTACTTTGTTATCTAAAGAACTGCTATCTCCCTTAAAGCTCATTTTTTTCTTCTTCTTCTTCTTCTTTTTTTGCCAGTCCTGGGACTTGAAATTGAGGCCAAGGCACTGTCTCTGAGCTTCTTTTGCTCAAGGCTAGCACGCTACCACTTGAGCCACAATGCCACTTCAGCTTTTCTGTGTATGTGGTGCTGAGGAATAGAACCCAGGGTGGGCTTCATGCATGCTAGGCAAGCACCCTACCACTAAGCCACATTCCCAGCCCTTAAAGCTCATTTTCATTAGTAGTACTAAAGAAGCTTTTTGGGATTAAGGCTTGCATATTTATATAACTTTTGTCATGGTAGCTATTTTTTTTAATTTATTTAAAATTTTAAAACATTTTAAAAATTGTTTACATTTAATGTAGCTCCTGAACATCTGTGGGTTTATTTAAATCTTCCAATTGTGTCCTGTGCTTGCCCTCTGTCCTGCTCAAGCTAAGTTCTCTGTAATTCTTTTTATGGTCAGTCTTGGGGCTTGAACTCTGGGCCTGGTACTGGCCCTGAGCTCCTTTTTCTAACGGCGAGGCTCTATCACTTGAGCCACAGATCTCCTTCTGGATTTTTCTGAGTTGTTTATTGGAATTAAGTCTCATAGACTTTTCAGGACAGGCTAGCTTCAAACCACGATCCTCAGATCCTCAAATCCGTCTCCTGAGTAGCTAAGATTATAGGCATGAGCCACTAGCAGCTTCTGGAATTCTGGATTGAGATTCTAAAAGTATTTCATTGTTCTCTGTATTTTTCAGAAATTATATATTTATATATATGTTCTCCTCTTTTTAAAAAAACTAATAATGTAAACTTTGTACCCTTGTTTTTCCTTATTCTGTTCAGTCCTGGCTTGAACTCTGGGTCTGGGCTCTGTCCCTAAGCTAATGTGCTTAAGGCTAGAGCTTGACCACCACTTGAGCCACAACTACACTTCTGGCTTTTCTTGTAGTTTAATCAAGAGTCTCATAGACTTTCTTGCCCTGACTGGCTTTGAATCACAATTATGAGATCTCAAGCCTCTTGAATAGCTAGAATTACAAATATGAGCCACCAGTGCCCAGCTTCCTTTACATTACTTTTTATTTTATGTAAAAAAAAAAAATTGTTGCAGCACTGAGCTTGAACTGAGGAGCTCATGCTTACTTATGCCACTTGAACACACCTTCAGCCTTCATTTTGTGAAACGGCATTTTTGTTTTTTTTTGGTCTTTTTACCTTTGGTAGCGGGGATCGAACCTAGTATGTTGCATTCACAATCCAAGCATTTTGCCACTTAACTATATCCCAGCTCTAGTTTTGTAGTTCATGCCTTTTGTGTCTTTTTCAACTTTTTTTTAAAATTTCATGTTATGAGTGTTTCCTACCTTGAAGTAAGGTATGGTTTCACAGTTCATCTCAGTTTCCCAATGTGCAAAGAACAAATAAATACACTGCTGTCACCAATGTCAAATGATGTCTTTTTCTTGGTTGGTTTTATACAATTGCCAGGAATGTAGATAAGTATTAGAAACAAATGAGGTCTTTTAGAGTTTACTGTCTAAATAGAAAAGGCTGATAAATGATAATGGAATCACTAGTATAGTGAAAGAAATAAGCCCCTATTTATCCCCCTTATTTGCTGCAAGTGCTAGCTTTAGGAACATTCATATGCTATTTTGAGATACTATCGTTGAAGTATCAGAGAAACATAAATATCAACAATTCAAACATGCTGCACCACCTCATAAAATAGTTCCATAAGCTTAAAGATTAAGTCAGTTATGTTAGGTGTTTTCATTTACTTCTGTGACTCGTCTGGTAAGAATTATCTTAAATTATTAATCCCACCCCTGCAGGTAGAATAGAAAAGCAAAAAACCAAATGATACTTTATTAATGTTTAATATAGCAGCATTGTAAATTATACACATAATATACAATGGTAATGAAATAAATTGAGTGGTAAAAAAGAAACTAGTATTTACTGTTACTCAAAATTGGAAGGGAATAAAAAGGAAGAAATGTTATAAAAGGAACTACTATGAAAAAAAACAGCAAATAAAACCTAAATTCAAACTTGAAATGAAACCAAAGACATACTACTGTAGACATACAAGATAAAGACAATATAGATATGAAACTAGTAGAGAGATTGCTACAAAACCATTAATGTTGAAAATATCTTCTCTGGTTTAAGCTGAGATTAAATTACTTACCCAAGTTCTGTCATGCCATCTACAAATTCCTTTTTGCTAAATTCACATTGAGTAGCAGCCCTGAACTTCCATGCTATGACCAAAACACTGATACTGGCAGGATCAAGATTTAAATCATCACAAAACTGTTGGATTCCATCAATTCCAATTTTGTTTTCATCTTGTGGGTCTGTAATTAAAATCAAGAGAAAAAGAAGTTATAGTAGTTTGAAAATCAGTCCTAAAAAAGAAGTATACCACTCATATTACATAGTTCTAGCAACAATGAAAGGCAGTTTCTCTAGTACACATGAAAGAAATACAGAGCAACAATTACAATTTGTCTAGAAAAGTCCTATCTTTTAAGAATATAGGTTTCTGAGTTGTGTGCGTGCATGTGGTTTGTGCTGTGTGTTTGCACTAGTCCTGAGACTTGAAGTCAGGACCTGAGCTTTTCTGCTCAAGGCTGGTGCTCTACCAATTGAGCCACAGCTTCACTTCTGGCTTTTGGTGGTTAATTGGAGATATTCTCATGGACTTTTCTGCTCAACTGGCTTTGAACTGCAATGGCTATAATTACAGGCAAGAGTCACAGGTGCCTGGCTGGTTTCTGAGTTTTAAGCCAAAGGGGAAAAGAAAAACACTGAAAAATATTTTAGGAGACTTAATTAAGTAGCTGGGAGTACAGGTGAATAGTAAAGTATACTTCCTCAGGCATCCTGCCTTCTCAGCCTTTTCACTCACAGTTGGCCCTTTGACACTTGATCCATACTTCCGATTATTAAAAAAAAATCTAGCTCGTGTATTCATTTAACAGTCTAGAAAGTCAGATTTCTCATCATCATTTTTAGTTTAGAGATAAAGTTTAGTATCTATCTGTCAGCTATTAATATAAGAGGTGACATTGATCAAGATGCATTTGTACTCATAAACTGACACACTGAATTGAAACCTTTTTGTATAATAAAATACTGACACCAGAAAAAGGAGTTAACATTAAACAGTAAGGTGTTTTAAAAGCATCCCTGAAAGACCTCACCAATTAGCCATATCATTTCAGACAATTACATACATTGCAATATATCATTATGCAAATGTGAAATCTGTTGGTTCAGAGATGCAAATAAAATGCTCCTTTGCTCAGTATAGATGAGGTACGATCATCCTTTCGTTTCTTCCCTTCATGTCAAATTCAACTCTTGTCACTTTAATACACTAAATTACATTTTTTTTTTCTTTTTTGGTACGAATACTAGGACTTGAACTCTGGGGGTTGGATGCTGTCCCTGAGCTTTTTGTGCTCACGGCTAGTGCTCTACCACGTAAGCCACAGATCCACTTATAGCTTTTTGGTGGTTAATTGGAAATAGAACTCTCACAGACTTTCCTGCTCATGTGGGTTTTGAACCATGATTCTCAGATTTGATTTCAGCTAGGACTATAGGTGGGAGCCACCAGTGCCTAGCAAACTACATTATTTTTATGCATGTTGTTAACAAAGAAAAACTGATGACGTTAATAAAACCACAAATATTCACCTAAATATACATAGGAAAAAAATACCTCAGCCATGGTTTATAGGACTTGAAAACTGACATTTAGAGCCCAAAATGATATAACATGTTTTTACTTTAAATGACTAGAACTATATGAATAAAATCAAATGATAAATGAATAAAGTTTAAAATAAAATTTAAAGACTTGATTTTTAAGTATTTTTCAAAGGCAGCTGTACATATTTGAATATCATTAAAAGTTCACATAGCATATAGCTTAAAATCAGCTCAACAATTAGTTTAAAAAACACCGCAGGGCTGGGAAGGTGGTGCTTGCCTTGCATGCATGAGGCCCTGGGTTCAATTCCTCAGCACCACGTAAACAGAAAAGAGCCAGAAGTGGCGCTGTGGCTCAAGTGGTAGAGTGCTCTCCTTGAGCTGAAGAGCTGAGGGACAGTGCCAAGGCCCAGAGTTCAGACCCCATGCCATGACCAGCAAAAAAAAAAAAAGACTGCAATTTTCAATCCAAAAAGGCACACACACATATTTTCAAAAACAAAAAATGAACAAAAAAAGAATGTAAAGTCAAGGAAATTATTCTATTTTGGCTAATAGTTGTTTATTTTTTTTTTCAGTTTTGAGAAACTTAGGAACAGCTAAAAAGAAAATGTAAAATAAACTGACTGCTAAATCCTTTGCTGCCTTATTCAACAGGAAAATTAAAACCTACTAAGAAATGTGGATCTGTCACTTTTCAAAGCAGACTTATTTTTACAGTATGACTGTGTCTGGACAAGAAAAGCTTTATACTAAGCAATGAACAAAGTGTCTACAATCTCCAACATGGAGGCTTCTCTGCTACAATTTCCTCATGTGGCAGCTAAAGTTGCCTTAATGCTATGACACCACCATAAGGTAGAGCACTTTGCAGAATTGTTCTTACAATTCAGTAATGTTATAAACATTTCAGCTCCATGGGCTGGGAAGATGGCTCAGTGGTGGAGTGCTTGCCTTGCATGCATGAGGCCCTGGGTTCAATTCCTCAGCACTACATAAGAAGAAAAAGCTGGAAGTGGCACTGTGACTCAAGTGGTAGAGTGCTAGCCTTGAGCTGAAGAGCTGAGGGACAGTGCCCAGGCCCAGAGTTCAGGCTCCAAGACCGACAAAAAAAAGAAAAAAAGAAACATTTCAGCTCCAACATAAGCACTTGGGGAAAAAACTCCCACAGTATTGGCTGGGTTTACGCCTGTAATCCTAGCTACTCAAGTACTTGAGATCTGAAGAACTGCAGTGGGGCACAAGCCTAGGAGAAAAGTTTCCTAGAATACAACTCCAAAATAACTAGTAAAAAGCAGAGCTGGGGGTATGGCTCAAGTGGGAAAATGCCAGCCTAGCAAGGTCAAAGCCTGACCTGAAATTCTTATAATCTAAATAATAAACAACCCACAGTATTAACCAGTAAAGCCTCAGTTTCTCTCTGACTGTTTTCACCGTGACACAGCCAAGAAAGTAGAGGGCAAGAATTTGCCTACTACATTCAACCTTCTTCTCCCTATCCGCATGTCCTTTCTGAAGAGGGAGTTCTAGAGTTGGATATCAGGAAGAGAGCAGTTAGCAGCTCTTCTGCCCAAGGCAGCACTAGAAACTGGAAGTAAAACAGTCCCTGCTCATTACACACAGAACTGCATTTCACCTCTTACCTTTGTACCTGCCATACAACTGTTCCAGCTTCTTCTGGTCCACAGTGTTCCTCATGGACTCCTGAAGGAGCGTGTCTGGGTTTTGAAAGAAGCTGTCTGTGGCCTCATCTAGTTTCCAATCATTCTGAGTGAGGCAGTAGATAGCAGTTCTTTCCCCGGCTTGAGTGCATGCCATAAACTGGCGGACCTTGTCCTTCTGAGACGACTTGAGCCTATGCTTTGGGATGCAAAAGCAGAAAACCCAGTGAAGCCACTCCAGGGTGTGTCTGTCTCTATTTTTAAGGCCTGTATTTAACTGGACAACATTTCTGAGTTGTTGGGCAACTCAGATTCATTTCAGAATTATAGGAAGCCAACCCTGTTATTCAACAGTTAAGACTACGTAGTCTTCTGAAAACTGAAACATATCTATACTAACAAATACGTAAATCTTCAAAAAATTATGAGAACATTTTAGCAGTCTCTATTAACATATATCTAGCTCTTGACAAGGCAGAGAGCTGATGTCATCACCCAGTGCATGTGCAGGGTCTTTGGCTTCCAGTATTAAGTTCATGATCTAATGCATAGGAGGCTGTGCCATTTAGAAATGTCATTGTTTCAAGTTTTTCCCAGAACCACATACAACCAAGGATTCTTTAGAGGAAATTTACAAAAGTGCCACAAACAGGCATAAGTCTGTTTATGACAAAATGAAAGTGATAATGCTAGTAACAAGAGGTCTGCATATGTGAAGCAGAAAGAAAAACAGAGCAAAGGCTGTGGGTAGGTGAATAAACAAACAAAAACTGCCAAGTAACCTTACTATATATAGTGTATAATGAAACAGAATAGCATCTTCATACTTCCAGATTAGAGTGGTTAAGTTTCCACTTCTCCAAGACAACTTGATGAAAGTCATTGAGAGTGAATGACTTTCAAATTCAAAGTCAAAACAGCCTCCAAAATCCACTAGTTTTTTTTTTTTTTTAAATTGCTGTTTATCCCTCAGTGCATCAATCTAGGGCTTCATACATGCTACACAAGCACTCTATCACTGAGCTATATGTATACATCCCCAGCTTCGAGGATGGATATACTTTTTTTTTTTTTGTCGGTTATGGGGCCTGAACTCTGGGCCTGGACACTGTCCCTCAGCTCTTCAGCTCAAGGCTAGTGCTCTACCACTTAGGCCACAGTGCCACGTCAGGCTTTTTCTGCTTACGTGGTGCTGAGGAATCGAACCCAGGGCCTCATGAGTGCAAGGCAAGCACTCTACCACTGAGCCACCTTCCCAGCCCCCTGGATATACATATTTTTTTCTATAAAGGATTATACTCAATTTTGTCCAAATAAAAATGAGAATTTACAGAAACACAAAATAAGTAACTTACAGAAATACACAAATGTAGATGAAAGGTATAGATGAAGAAATTGAAAAAGGAAGAAAAGAACAAAGCCAGGGCTAGAATTAGAATAAAGACATGCATACCATGTACAAGGGCTGAAAGTAGGCTTTTAAAAGCAGGCTTCAAGCTTCCCAGCTGCCACAAAGAAAAAAAATGTTATTAGTTAGGAAAATCTTTTGTACCAATAGCTGAGAAGTGGTACTGGTCTGAAACCTGAGGGAAATGGCTTCCATAGCGCATGAAAAAAACGTGCAACGTGCCCTCAGTATCCATTTGTCACCAAAATGTCAGTAATAAGCAGTGTGAACACATTCCAATCTCTCTCCCAAGACAACATGAAGCACAGTGTACAATCTGATAGGAGGAGGATACAATCTACACACAACACTTGAGTATGTTTGTGGGGACCTGAGGTCCTGAGACCCTCCAATGACTCACAGTAACACTGTAGGTGAAAGCAACAGTTCAGACAACATACAGGGATGGGTTTGGCTGTGTTCCATTAAGACAATTTACAAAAACAGGCAGATAACTCTTGGCTGTAGTTTTCTTCAGACAACATAGATTTTTATTTTTTTGCCAGTCCTGGTGCTTGAACTCTAGGCCTGGGCACTGTCCCTAAGCTTCTTTTGCTCAAAGCTAACACTCTACCACTTGAGCCACTGCACCACTTCTGGCTTTTTCTGCTTATGTGGTGCTGAGGAATCGAACCCAGGACCTTATACATGCAAGGCAAGCAACTCTACCACTGAGCTACCTTCCCAGCCCGACAATATAGATTTTAATAAAACTTAAGAGATCTCGTGCTACCACAGTCAACTGGCAGGGGATAAAATTAGCACCTTCTTATGAGGCCAACAGCCAACCAAAGATGGGGCAAATGCAAGAGACACTCAAAAACCTTAAAAGACAAATATGCCACCACCCACAATGGTCCCATTAGGAGCACCCTTCCTATAGTTACTATGGAATAGCTATCAATGTAGTATTTTAAAATTATGTCATAGAACTGGGAAAAAGAGAAGGAAATTACGAAGTAACACGGCCCAAAAGGGAAATGTACTCATTACCTGACTTATGAACTGGTAACCCTTCTATATAATACCTTGAGAATAACAAAATTATTTTTAAAAAATGCAACACAACTAGGAAAAAATTTGTTATGGCTATAAAACAAAATCTAGTATATTGATTTTAAAAGTATATTATTGAGGCATAAAAAGAAATAGCATGTGTCTTAATGTGGTTTTGAATATCAAAAACATGCTTACTGAAAGAGCCAGGTATAAAAGGTCACATGTTGGGCTGGGAAGGTGGCTCAGTGGTAGAGTGCTTGCCTTGCATGCATGAGGCCCTGGGTTCGATTCTTCAGCACCACATAAGCAGAAAAAGCCGTAAGTGGCTCTGTGGCTCAAGTGGTAGAGGGCTAACCTTGAGCTGAAGAGCTGAGCGACAGTGCCCAGGCCCAGAGTTCAGACCCACAACCGACAAAAAAAAAAAAAAAAAAAAAGGTCACATGTTGCACAATTCTATTTAGAGAAAATGTCCAAAACAGGCAAATATGCCAGAGGCTAGGAAGTGGGAAAAAGCTGTGAGTGTTTGTATGGTCAAGCTTTTCTCTTATGATGATGAAAATGTGCTGAAATCAGATAGTGATTATACACTGACTTATATATACCTCCATGTTTTCCCCCTGCAACCCAGCTACTACTTGGAAGGTGGAGATCAGGAGAATTGAGGTTTGAAGGCTTAAAAGTATCTTAGCAAACAAGCCAGGTACAGTTATCATACTTGTAATATCAACTATGCAGGAGGCAGAAACAGAAGACTAGTACCAAGCTATTTGAAAAATAACCTAAATCTGGGCACCAGTGGCTTATGCCTGTATTCCTAGGTACTCAAGAGGCTGAGATCTGATGAGCTCTCCAATTCATCACCAAAAAGCTGCAAGTGAAGCTATGGTTCAATTGGTACAGCTCTAGCCTCAAACAAAAAAGTTAAGGGACAGTGTCCAGGCCCTGAGTTCAAGCAGGCAGGCAGACAGGCAGACAGAGGTGTGACTCAAGTGGTAAGAGTGCCAGCTTAGCAGTCTCAAGGTCCTGAGTTCATCCCCAGCACCTCCCCTAAATAACCCCAGCACAACACTCCAGAGCTTCCAAGGCTGAAGAGCAGGTTGACACACTCTGAAGCAGCTGGAGTACTGGACCAGTATTAAAACACAACTCCACATCAGGAAAATATGGACAACCAGAAGCAGACATAATGTCTAGTCTAACTCCCAACCAACGACACCTCCAGAGGTGTTCCCCTCCACCATGTTTGACAACACAGCTTCTTTCAACACAGTATAAAAAGCATGCCTAGGAGCTGGGAAGATGGCTCAGTAGTAAAGCGCTTGCCTTCCATGCATGAGGCCCTGGGTTCAATTCCCCAGCACCACATAATAAAAAAAGCCAGAAGTGGCGCTACAGCTCAAGTGTTAGAGCGCTAGCCTTGAGCTGAAGAGCTGAAGGACAGTGCCCAGGCCCAGAGTTCAGGCCCCACGACAGGACCCAAAAAAAAAAAAAAAAAAAAAAAGCATGCCTGGCTGGGAAGGTGGCTCAGTGGTAGAGCGCTTGCCTTGCATGCATGAGGCCCTGGGTTCGATTCCTCAGCACCACATAAAGAAAAAAGAAAAAGCTGGAAGTGGCGCTGTGGCTCAAGTGACAGAGCATTAGCCTTCAGCTGAAGAGCTGAGGGACCAGCGCCCAGGCCCAGAGTTCAGGCCCCATGACCGGACCCCCCCCCCCCCCCAAAAAAAAAGCATGCCTGCTGGGTGCCAGTGGCTCACACCTGTAATCCTAGTTACTCAGGAGGCTGAGATCTGGAGATGGTGGTTCCAAAGCCAGCCCAGGCAGGAACATCCGTAAGACTTTTAGCTCCAACTAACCACTTAGAAAACCAGAAGTGGCGCTGTGGCTCAAGTGGTAGAGAGCTTGGTCTTGAGCTGAAGAGCTCAATCTGAGGGACAGAGCCCAGGCCCAGAGTTCAAGCTCCACGACCGACCCCCCCCCCCCCAAAAAAAAAAAAAAAGACGTATGCCTGACACAGACCTGTGGGTTCAGGGCACTCAAAGTGATTACAAATCATTTCTAGACTAGTTACAGAGTGGACAGAAGTAGACATGAAAATAGATTCCCTGGCCAGTCTAAATTACATAACCAGCTCAGGCCACTCGCACCCACTTCACACTTCAGAAGGGTACTCATATGGTAGTGGGCCAAGGCAGCAGCAAAGGCAGGGCCGGGGGCGCATCCACAGCAGTTCAGTTTGATACTGCCACTGGCAGTTTTCTGCGTGAAGCTGCAGTAATCAGTCACTCTGCCCCAGAGATGACTTGCTTTTAAAGTGAATTCCTTTCCTAATAAACTTTCTTATTTAAAAATGACAGTAATCAGTGCACTCTAAAAGCACTACCCAACCCAAGGGACTTAAATTCAACTAAGAAAACAAGTCTGGCACGACCTTCCTTAGAAAACTGACTCACAGAAACTACAAGGTACAGAAGAGGACTCTGCAAAAACCTACACGAACTTCATCAGGGCCCTCGAACCGGTGGGACCAAGGCTTCCCTGTTGGGGGCCTGTGATCTTCACTGAAGCTAAGGTCAGGCAAGGCGGTAAGGGGGAAGGAACTTCCCGGGTCGTACTACTTTTCCTTAAACAAGCATCTGAACAGCGCGGTAGAAACGTCAGACTGGACCTCCGAACCGTACGGGTCGCACTTGGACGTGAGCCTGTGGTTCTGAGATGTTCTTGCGGACGCTCGAGCTCCCGCCGGGGTCAGTGTACAACGGCCGATACAACAGGTCACGTGGCTGGGCACACTCCATGGCCTGACGCGCGTCCCTCAGACTCGGCCGAGTCCCGGGGCTTGGACCTCCGCCTCCCCGCCGCGGCCCGTCCGGCGCCCGAGCTGCCATCCGGGTCTCGGCCGCTATGGCTCCGAGCCCTCTCGGACGTCGGGCCCCGCCACCCGCCGGACCGCTTCCGAAAGCCTGCGGGCCGCCCCCCCCCCCTCCCCGGCCGCGCCCGCCGCCCCGGGCCCGGCGCCCAGTCCCCACGCCGGCGGGCGCCTCCGACCGCACACGGCCCCGCCCGGCCCTCACGCGGAGACAAAGGCGGTTCCTCCAGTCGGTGCGGGGACCGTCCGCGCCCCAGCCCGACCCCGCCACGCCGCGGTGACCTCCACGCCGGGCGCCGGCACCTTCACACCCTCCACGGAGCCCAACAACTGCCACCTACCATGCTCCCAGACACCGCCGCAGTCACTGGCAGCCGTCCGCGCAGGCGCACGCTGCGCGCTGGCGGCCGTCTGCGCAGGCGCACACCCAACGCGACTCCGCGCCCGGCCTCCGCGCAGGCGCTGGCCGCCGCTCCCGCCAAGGTTGGGTACCGGGTCCTGCGGTCGGCGCGCCTCGGCCGCCGCCGCCCAGTGGTGCGTTCTCCTCCCCAGTCCTCACGCCCGCTGGGAGGAGTCCCGGGGAAGACGAGGGCGGCCGGTCGGAGACGTCCGGGCCCCGCCCCCGAGAACGCGATGCCCGCATCCGCCCGTCGGCTCCCGGCGCCGCGGAGTCCCGGGTCCGGGATGCAGATGCTGGAGCGGCTCGTCCAAGTCGCGGCCTCCTCGGTGTTGGTGAGCGCGCCGGTCCTGAGCTGCGCGGGGCTTCGTCGGGGAGGAGGGGCGTTACTTCCCGGGGACCTTCCTTCCGGTGGGGGCCCCTTCCCGTGGACCTTCCTTCCGGGGGGCTCTTTCCCGGGCACCTCTTCTCTCCCTGGCTCCTCCGGGTTCCCTTTGTGGGGAGGGTCTTCTCGGGACGTGGGGGGCGGGGACGGGGCCTCAAGTTCTTTGCCCGCCTTCCTTCTTTCAGGGTCCCCTCGCGCGCTCCTTCCTGGGACTCTGGCAAAGGCTCGCCTTGAACCTCGCTCTTTCCCGGGGGCTCCCCTTCCCAGGCCTTGGCCTTCCACCTTGCTCCTTCCCAGGGACTCCCCCTCCCAGGCTTTCTTTCCTAGCGGCTCTCCTCCCCAGGCTTCACTCAGTGCCCAGCCACTTGATTCATGCTCCTCTGCGGAATTTTATTCACTCTTGTCTGTGTGTTGAGGCAGGTTGTTGTTTTTTTAGCTATACCTAGCCAGCAATGGACACCCTGAGATTATTGTTCTGGGGAACATGTAGAGAGCCCTGCAACCCCTTGGTCTAAATTTACAGAGCCAGAAAGGTGTCAGAAAGGTGGGCAGTCTTAATCCCTACCTTAGGTATAGACTCTTACAGATGTAACCAGTCACATAGGTTGGGAGGGGTAGAAAAGTCTTAACATTCTGTCAGCCTCACCGCTTCTAGTCTCCT